AAAGAAACAGAGTCCCACTGTTAGGGGCCCATGCTGGAGGTAATTAGTCCGTCCTTGGGGCTCTGTGAGCGGGCAGAGAGAGGTGATTTTCCCCTGGTCTCTGCTGGAGCTGTGAAAGAAACAGAGTCCCACTGTTATGGGGACATGCTGGAGGTCTCGAGTCCGTCCTTCGGTGCTCTGTGAGCGGGCAGAGAGAGGTGATTTTCCCCTGGTCTCTGCTGGAGCTGTGAAAGAAACAGAGTCCCACTGTTATGGGGACATGCTGGAGGTAATTAGTCCGTCCTTGGGGCTCTGTGAGCGGGCAGAGAGAGGTGATTTCCCCCTGGTCTCTGCTGGAGGTGCAGAGTCCCACTGTTAGGGGCCCATGCTGGAGGTAATTAGTCCGTCCTTGGGGCTCTGTGAGCGGGCAGAGAGAGGTGATTTCCCCCTGGTCTCTGCTGGAGGTGCAGAGTCCCACTGTTAGGGGCCCATGCTGGAGGTAATTAGTCCGTCCTTCGGGGCTCTGTGAGCGGGCAATGAGAGGTGATTTTCCCGGTCTCCGCCCTGGAGGTGTGAAATAAACAGAGTCCCACTGTTAGGGACTGGTGCTGGAGGTCTCTAGTCCGTCCTTCGGGGCTCTGTGAGCGGGCAGAGAGAGGTGATTTCCCCCTGGTCTCTCCTGGAGGTGTGAAATAAACAGAGTGCTACATTTTGTAAATAGTGCAATATCTCCAGGGCGCATAACTGCACTTTACAAGCCAGAAATAATGTTTAAATGGTCGGGGAAAGTATTTTTAAATGTCTGGAAGAGAGTTTTAGACAGTCATTTTGCACGAAATCATTTAACATAGACGCTCTCCTGAAAATGCACAGAATATGTGCTTTTTCAGGAGACCGTCAATGTTAAATGATTTCGTGCAAAATGACTGGCTAAAACCCCGGAATAAGTGTTTGAAAGGCGGGGAAAAGTTCTTTAAAATAGTCTGATACCTCCAGGGCGCATCACCAAAAATGTACAAGCCAGGGAAGATGCCTGAATCCCGGATACTTTAGGTCTGTCACTTAGGGTGACCGCACCACTCCGACGCTCCCGAGAGCGGACGTCCATTGTTTGTAAGGCACCTAAGAGGGAGTAGAGAATGAATGAATGGTTTCTGCAAAATACACAGAAATAGAAATAAGGTTCAAATTACAATAACTAACCAGACGATGGTTATTAATAATAAGCAACAGCAATACTAATTGTTGCTAAAACACATTAGACACGTTGCAAACACACGGCTAATAAAAGCTAAGTTAGCATCTCATCCACACACTATCATAGCTTAACTTAGCTAACTAGCTAGCATTAGCTCAATTCCTGACCAACATAGAAACTAAAAACGGGACATCAAGACTCATTAACACACTGACTGAGCAAGACACTATGCATACAATCTTATAACATTACCAACACTAAAGATCTGCATATATGCTCACATTCTTCACGAACGCATTCTCTCTGTGACGATGGTAATTATGCATGTGACGATGCGCAATAATGTCCTGAACGCACATGTGTAACCAGCTCGAAGACCCGTAGCTGATCTACTTTAGCTGTCCCTAAATGTGCCTGACTAAAACACGAACGATATAATGCAGATCAAGGAGAACAAGGGGAATTTACAAGACATAGACTAACTGTGGTTACATTACTTAACTAGCTCATCATCGTCACCAGTCAGAAAATGTCCGTTAGCCGTGGGGCTAGTTTTCGCTATGTTAAACTCCATTGACTTATGCTAAAATGTTAGCGATCTAAAGGTCCGCTATTTTTGGCTGTTTTGGGTCGACTTCAGTTGACTGTAACATCGAAAATCTTCGAAATTGAATGTTCACAAAGCTGCGGACCGGTTATACACTCATACACGAGGGAACTAACATAGCTAATTTAACTAACGTAGCTGGTGTAGTGCCGAGAGACGGGACATACGGATTAAGCAACTAGACTACTTGTAGTGTACATGCAGAATTATTTCAATTTAAAATAGTTTTAAATGCTCACACACATACCTGACTCTGGTGCTGTATTTTCCTCTCATTTCTTTTTAATTTTCCGTTTCAAAGCACCTGATGAATGCTTTCTCTTTGACACTCAGCGACAGAATCAACAGACAGAGGCAGCAACGCAGATTTGAATCTGCCAATCAGATCAATCTATTGCTGGAGAGGGGGGGGGGCTCCCCGAAATCAGCCGGAAGTGGCGCATTCGAATACTGTTTGGGCTGTCTGCCGTGGGTGCGTTCCACTCCAAATAGCCGGTCGGCCGTAATATATGCATAGATATATATGCGTGCATATATGAATATATATATGCGTGCATATATATATATTTATATTTATATATATATGAATATATATATGCGTGCATATATGCACGCATATATGAATATATATATGCGTGCATATATGCATATATATATGCGTGCATATATGTGTGTGTCTATATATATTTATAAACTGTATATTATTTTCCATCATTCAATGGACAATTTGTACTTTTTTTATATGTAGGCTACCATCAAACATATGTTCATATATAAAGTGGGTAACTATACAAAACGAAGTGAGATAACTGTTTATGAATATCTGTTCAATTTTATGTAAACTCATGAAAGATAAATGAGTGTTTCAATAAAACTATTACATATAAATGTATAGTGCAGTTTTTGTTTTCATTGCAATATATTTTTTTTATATGTATCAATATATAGCCATACATGGTCCATGCATATATTGCAATATATTTAAAAATATAAGGACTACTTTCCCATATATGGAAATGTATAATCCAATATATTGTATTATATTTACCAATATATTACAATATATTTTTGTTTCATAAGGGACTACTCACGCATCAGAGCTCCGCCCCCAGCTGCACAGCCTCTGCTCACTGCAGCTGATCTTACCGTTAAAGGAGGATCAGAGTCATTAAATGTTTAAGGTGCTTCATTAAGAGTAAAATATATTAAATCTCTTAAACGAATCAGGAGATCGAACTCTATAAAAACATTAAAGTGTGTGAAATATACTTACAAATTCTATAATAATTTTTTGATTATAAAATAATAACGTACAGTTCTTACTTGTTGTTTGTGATGCATGTGTGGTAGACCCACAGCACGTCAAACATTTAGGATATATACAAATACGGGTGGCATAACTAATACATATGTTAGTGATTTGTGTCTCTCTTCTGTAGGACAAATTACATAACAACATACAATACAAAAGTATTCAATTGAAATGAGCCTACTGTATCAGTGTATAAACCCTTTGCTTCCAGTACAACACATACATGTATGGTCATTAAGGAAAAACTTACCACTCGGAGCATGGTGTCCAGCAAATTTTCACTTCTTGTCTTTGCTGAAAGGCCAACCCAGTCTCACGGCATTTCGTGTTATTAGTCACGAAATTAATTTAATATATTGATTCGTGTTCACCAACACGATTTTCAATTTGTTTTCGTGTCACACAGAACGATTTTAAATGCAATGTATTTCTATTGGTAGTATGTTTCGTGCCTGCAACACGTCTTTTTGTCCGGTCGGGTCTTGGAAGACCAGAAGCTGTGTGGTTCAAGAACATGTTCTTACTCAATATCTTACCCTAAGCCTAACCCTATCCCTTTTATTTTAAATTGTATAATGTCTGAGTTTTTTTGCCGTCAGTGAGGAAAATAAATGGGGCTCAGAGCCTCAGAATACTGAAATCTGTATTTTATGTCATCTTTTTTTCCTTCTAATTTGTTATTATTTGGTGCAGGCACGAAACATACTACCAATATAAATACATTGCTTCTAAAATCGTTCTGTGTCAGAATACTTAAATCTGTATTTTTTTAAATGTCTTTTTCCTTCTAATTTGTTATTATTTACATTGCTTTTAAAATCGTTCTGTGTGACACGAAGAAAATGGCGAAATCGTGTTTGTGAACACGAATCAATAGATTAATTTCGTGACTATAACACGAAATGCCGTGAGACTGTGTTGGAAAGGCATGACATGAAATGGACAGAAATATTAATGAGAGATACTTTACAAAGTTAGGTGATACAACGTTACAGAACATTATTTGTACCATTTATAGACCACCAATAAGGTTAGATTTCTACACATAAACATTACTAACAGACAACAGCATCTGAAACAGAGATACAGAAGAATCCACTATCGTACCAGTATGGAGCAGCTTCTTTCAGAATGGGAGTTTCCTACAACACAAGGTTATAAGGTGATGCAAAACGTAGTCCTGTAATGCTTACAATGACAACAAAAGGTGCAGTGTTGAGGGTGGATTGAGGAACCTCACTGCTTCATACTTGTACGATACTGGATACTTGTGTATCTCTGGATTCAGAGGCGGTTATATGTTAGTATCGTTTGGGCTCTGTGCAGATATCTCACTGATGGTCTGTAGACGGTACCAATAATGTTCTGTACGTTTTTATGTTATTTAACAAGAAAAACAAAAAGGAAGAAATTATAACACACTTACATTAAAAAGTCTTCTTTCCACAATGCTCTCATAGAGGAACACCTTCTGGGTCCTGTGTTTCCTGCATTCTAAAAATAAATAACACCATTTTAATAATTAGGTAATAAGTCTTCCAAACAATCATTTAAAGAAATGTATTGTATAGTATATAGTATAGTGCAAATCGAACCTTTTCGACTTTTCTTTGACGGTGGAGGCGGTGGAGGAGAAGACAAGGAGGAGAGAGAAGGCTGGGAGCATGGAGGAGGTGGAGGAGAAGACTAGGACGAGAGAGAAGGCTGGGAGCATGGAGGAGGTGGAGGAGAAGACAAGGAGGAGAGAGAAGGCTGGGAGCATTGAGGAGGTGGAGGAGAAGACAAGGGGGTGAGAGAAGGCTGGGAGCATGGAGGCGGTGGAGGAGAAGACAAGGGGGAGAGAGAAGGCTGGGAGCATGGAGGAGGTGGAGGAGGTGGAGGAAGAGAAATAAGATGGAGAGTAAATGTCTCCGGAAGGAGGCCGGAGGGCTCTGTCTCTGGCTCCGTCTCTGTCTCTGGCTCTCGCTCTGGCTCCGTCTCTGTCTCTGGCTCGGGCTCTCGCTCCGTCTCTGTCTCTGTCTCTCGCTCTGGCTCTTGCTCCGTCTCTGTCTCTGGCTCTCGCTCTGGCTCTCGCTCTGGCTCTCGCTCTGGCTCTCGCTCTGGCTCTTGCTCTTGCTCTGGCTCTCGCTCTGGCTCTGTCTCTGGCTCTCGCTCTGGCTCTTGCTCTGGTCCAGAGGGGGCTGGTGGACCAGCAGATATTGATGCAGCTAGTTGTGCAGCACACACTGCAAATGTTGAAAATAATACAAGGGAAAATTAACAGAACACATTTTAAGGAAGACTTATTTTTGGCCTTACTTGCAAGAAATTAATTAAATGCATTGAATTTCCCTCTTATTATAAATCAACCAGGTAGTTCTTAAGTGAATGAAATTCAGGTAGTGTGAAAATAATGTTTTTAAGCTACCACAGCTGACTGTAGACATATTGCTATGTTTCTCATATCAGTGTTTAACACAACAACTTATCGTATTTAGTTAAGACCATGATCATAATGAAAATGTAGTTGCAGTCTGGAGCAGCTTCTCTCATTAAACTAGAAATCATTTAAAACTTGCAGATAAATACATTAAATCTGTAATGAAACATGGTGATAAGACTTTTGACAGGTTGTTGCCGGGTTTGCAAAGAACCACGTGCGTCTCACAGAAGAAAATAGGCATGACTTTTCTTCTGTGTCATTTCGAAACTGTGGCTGGTCTGACATGTTTCTACGGATGCCCAGATAAAAAGCATAAGTCGTAATGATAAGCACATGTGCAGCGTACGGCACCATGTGTGTCCTGGACATTAGGGTGCGAGGTAGGAGTGTCATGATGTCTAATTTCATTGAATGTCTTTTGCCTCAACTCGTCTCTCGAGGTGTCTCCTCCTCTTCTCCCATCTCATGTGAGAGGGATTAAGACATGAAGAGAGGAGGCAAGAGTTACAAACTGGGAAAACAGAGCAGCCTCATATCTTTATGATGCCTGCAGAGATGTGTTTGTATTACAGACACATGCATAACGTTCATGCTTGCTAACTACATGTGAGTAATGTCGACATTTGCATTCAATTCAACCCTTTAAATATTTGTGTATAGCACATTTCAATGTTGTCCAAAGTGCTGTACAGGCTTAAAACACAATACAAAATAAAGAAATATGCATACAAATAATTAATTATAAATAAAAACTAAAAAGTAGGTAACTGCAATACCATTAGTGTGGTACCCTCATATTAGTGTCTTAGTGTTCACAGTGATAACATGCTGGCCCTGACAAGCCCATGTTGACAGCCTTTGTTCTATAATACAGAATAGGTTGTATTATATAAAAAAGGCTCAGGGGGGGATGACATTTTAATGATATAACGGGATAGATGTAACAGAAGTGTGAATTTGATGAATGCATTGACACAAAGCCCATGGACGACTACACAATGAGATAATAAAGTACAAGGATGATCTTAATTTTCAGGAGGTACTCATAGAGTTTCCTCATTTTGAGTAGGATCTCCCTAACGACCCCATCAGTGTTACCGAAATGGTGGACCAGATCCCCACGGATCTCCCCACTGCGGCCCTTATTGCAAAGGAAAAGGACCGGGCTGGAGCCAAGGGTGTGTAGTTTAAGAACCTGCAAGAATTGGAGTGAAAAAGATTGCATTCAGGCACATTGATCAATGATACAAATCTTTTGGTTTGTTAAAGCCCGAAAAATGGTTTCACATTCACTGAGGGCAAGGCTGTTTGACAAATAAGATATGTAATCGTCTGATAGGCCAAACATCTTAAATACTAAGTCATTTAAACTCACAGATAGCTCGGCCGACTTAACGGTCCTGCTGGCGTTCCTGTTCATCTTCACAGAAGCCCCCCAGCTAGAGTCCTTCAATTCCGCTTCTTTTTAAAAAAAATTGTTATTTATTTGAAGGGGGCAGACACACGCCACGCATGTTTTACGCCCAAGGGAATTTGGTGCCTGGCAGGAGGGGCACAGTTGGGTTTTGGGCTTTGTCATTCTGCAAATGAAAGTTAAACATAGAGGGATTATCTCAAAAATGTTTGCTGTCAGTTGATCAATTTTTTCTCAAATACACAAATATGTTATTAAGTTCATGCTCTATATTAAATGCAATTGGAGAGATAGAAGATACAGTCTAATATGCTGTGAATACTTGAGATAGGGCGCAAACTTCCAATGGTTTGAATCAAATTAATATATTCATATGTATGTGAATATTCAATATATTCAAACACAAATGACAAGTGGGGTTTTTGTATAATAGAATGTAACATTTAAACGCCAATGCTAAGTGACTCCATTTTGAACAAAATTGAACAACATTCTGTTAATAATTAGGCTAATGAGTACTGACTTCTAATGTACTGTGTAATTTGTTCACATATAAACATCATGACATTAAATGATGGCATTCCTTCTTGATGACAGCTTATGGTAAAAAAACAAATGACCAGCAACCGCAGTGACGCGTCCTAAACATTTTACGTCATTACACCGAACACGTAAAACACTCCCGCTAAGTAATAAATAATAAATAAATAATAATAATTACAAATACTTTCGCTCCAGAGTCCTCTTTGTTTTGATGAGCGATACAACTAACAGTGCTAGCTCCTTTGATGACTACGACATTGTACTAACACAGCTAGCTAGCCAAACGGTGGCTAATGCAAGCTTCTAAATGAGCCGTTATTACAAAAAAGAAAATAACTGTTACAGACTACATTTTCTTTAAGTTTCTCGTACTGTCTTACGAATCCTGCTGCCTGGGTGGGACTTGAATACATAACCCAAATATTTTATTTGTGTTATATTTGAATATTGTCGAAAATTAAGTGAGCAGTCGAGTTTATTACAGCTTACCTTGCTGGTGTCTCAAGGTTCCGAGCGATGTATCACGTGAACTACGTGACCTCGAGACCTGGCCTCACGAAGATAGCTGAGGATTGTGGGTAGTGTAGTGTCTTCGGCCATCCAAAACTCAAAACTACTTGTTTCTCAGAATTGAAGGGGAAAACGTGACAAAAGCATTGTACACTAAAACCTATCAATGTCATTTCATCAACAAGGATAATCTGGTGTTTTTGAGTTAATGAGTAGTGCAGATATCACCTATTTATGTTTCATCCAATCACAGAGCTTGTTGACTTATCACGAGGTTTTGTCGCAAAGCGGACAGAAGTCGTCACAACAATAGCTGGGGATTGTGGGTAGTGTAGTCTCTTTGGCGCTCCACATTTTAGAGAAAACAAGTTGTCTCAGAATTGAAGGGGAAAAACACAAAAGCATTGCACACAATTTAAACCTATAAATGTCGTTTAATTAACAAGGGTAATCTGGTGTTTTTGAGTGGATGAGTAATGGAGATATCACTGTCAAATCAATCGACAGTAAGGAGAATACTTACTTCCGGGTGTACAATTCTCCGTTATCCAATGGGAATGGACGCTCACATTGCCTTTAACAGCTGCCGACACAAACGAATGCCGTGCTTCCCTAAGCGTCAAATACCGCCGCCGATGGGAATACATTGCAATCAGTTGAAAGCTCTTTGCATCCGTTTATGACGCTGATGGAGACTCGGCGCGTAACAACTGGACGCCACGGAATTCTGACCAAGCGTCGCTCCTGGATGTGTTGGGAGTGAGAGTGTGTTGGCTGCAGCCTGCAATGGGGTTGAACCACCGTGTGGTCTTTAAATCAATGGAATGCATTGTTTCACTAAAATATCAGCTCGTAGAATGCAGAGTTCAAGACGTTTTTTATTGTGCCAACCTGTCACAGTTTCTGTAACATTTTCAATTCCCCTGCTTTGATTTATCACCCTGTGTACTGACATATTCCAGAAGCCGTTGGTACTTCCTTGTTCCTTGTTTCTTGTTCCTTGTTCCATGTTCCTTGTTCAAAGGAGATGAAACGATTGTGGTTAAACAAGTTTAGATGCCACTGAGCTGTGTTCGAAACTGTTAAAAAGATTCCTGTTGAAAAAAGATTCCTCATGTAGTATATTACAGAAGATACTCAAAGTTTGATTTTATTGGTCCTGTTTTATCCATAGAGTTCCATGTGTAAATTAGCGTTAGCTAGTAACAGCATATATGCTCCATACAAGTTAACCGTTGTAATAATTTAACGTTGAGTTGCATACTGAGGAAGATGGAGCCATTTTGCATAAACATGAAACTCTTTGGAGTTGAAGGAGGCATGATAACTTGGAACTATTACTATTATATCCTTGTTCTTGAACCTTTGAGAAAGAATTCCACACACAGAAACCTAGAAGGAAACATAACACTCTAAAATGCTGCAAGGTGAAATATGTTCTTTCCTTCAGATCTATGTGACAGGTGCTTTATCTGTACTCACACGTTTTTTAATGGTGAGTAATGTCGGTTATCAGCACGCTATGAATGTCTTTCACTTTTGACTTTCTTCCTCATACTCATGAACGACCATTACATAATAACCTGTATTGTGAAGGTTTGCATTCAGCTACGTCCTAACGTTGACAGTATTGGCTTTTTCTGACTCTCAAACACAGAGTTGATATTGTCTATTAATCTTTAATGTTACAGTAAAAGTATTGGGTGTTATATATAGCCTATATATATATAAAGTGGCCCAATTTGAGTGGAAGACGCTCACAGCTCTGGGAATAGCAGGTATGGAGTGCAAAACAGCTGCTCGTAGGTTGGGGGATGCAGCTGTAAGAGCCTCTTGTTGGCTCTGGAACAGGCGGGAATAGTTCTGCTGGAAACCAGGGGAGGATGGGCAGTGACTGGGCAGTGACTGGCCATCACTGCCAACCGAATGGCAGTGCATTAAAGTGAACATTTGCATGAAACAAAAGCACTCCATACGGGAGCAATCGCAATAAAATATAACAGTAATGCTCACGTCAGGCATCCGCGACTCTCGGACTATGTGTTAAGGAGTATAAAGTTCCAAGTGTCTGCTGTGTTATAAAACAGGTCCACTGTGCATGAATGGAAGAACAGCATGGGCTATAATAAAACATTAATGATGAGACAACCTGGTGATCCTCGCTGCAGGAGATTATAGTCCACATAATCGTGTACTTGCTCCGGGCTAGAACATCTCTTCTTGGATCCTCACTGCCGACCGAATGGCAGTATATAGTATAACAGGCGGGAAGAGTTCTGCTGGAAACCAGGGGAGGATGGGCAGTGACTGGCCATCACTGCCGACCGAATGGCAGTATATTAAAGTGAACATTTGCATGAAACAAAAGCACTCCATACGGGAGCAATCGCTATACAATATAACAGCAATGCTCACGTCAGGCATCCGCGACACTCGGAATATGTGTTAAGGAGTATAAAGTTCTAAGTGTCCACCGTGTTATAAATCAGGTCCACTCTGCATGAATGGAAGAACAAGCCAACGACCCGAATATTCAGATGCCTGCTGTAGTTTTCAGCCAAATCGAAGCTCTCCGTTAGAGCGCTGACCTTCTTCTCAAGTTCGCCAATCCCAGGTTCTTGCGCTGTGGCAGAGTTTTCTACCGCCTGATCCTGGTCTCTGCTTCATCTAGCCGGCTGCTAGCAGACTGGAGCTCCACAGAATGCTTATTAATAGACTCGACCAGAGAGCTGAGTTTTCATCAATTACTTTTATATTATTAGCAGTCATCAAGTTTAGGGCTTTAGCGAGGGCTAGAGTTAGTATTTGTTTATTTATCCAAAATCACTCGACTTCGCAGGAGTAGGTGAGGCTTCCAAACTTCCTAACGTTATCAGCATTGGGTTTTTCTAACTCTCAAACACAGAGTTGATACTGTCTATTAATCCGTAATGTTTCAGTAAAAGCATTGGTTGTAATATATTACGTTGTTATACTAATGTCATATACTATTGTAGGACATATCAGCTCCCTTCATTCCTGCAAGGTCTTAACCTTACTTACCACATTCAAATACCTTGAACCACTTGCAAGAAGTTTTAGTTTTGGTTATGTGGTTTACTGGTTTTGAGTTCTTCTAAATCATCTTTAAATGTAAATCATACAGTACCCTTCATTTAGAGGGTTACTCCATCCAAAATACAAAGGAAAAACAGACGTTTCTCCAGATAGCATTGCTTTCTTTTGACAGTTTCTTGTAATTCCTGCTGCAGCCTGCAATGGGGTTGAACCACCGTGTGGTCTTTAAATCAATGGAATGCATTGTTTCACTAAAATATCAGCTCGTAGAATGCAGAGTTCAAGACGTTTTTTATTGTGCCAACCTGTCACAGTTTCTGCAACATTTTCAATTCCCCTGCTTTGATTTATCACCGTGTATACTGACATATTCCAGAAGCCGTTGGTACTTCCTTGTTCCTTGTTCCTTGTTCCTTGTTCCTTGTTCCTTGTTCCTTGTTCCTTGTTCAAAGGAGATGAAACGATTGTGGTTAAACAAGTTTAGATGCCACTGAGCTGTGTTCGAAACTGTTAAAAAGATTCCTGTTGAAAAAAGATTCCTCATGTAGTATATTACAGAAGATACTCAAAGTTTGATTTTATTAGTCCTGTTTTATCCATAGAGTTCCATGTGTAAATTAGCGTTAGCTAGTAACAGCAAATATGCTCCATACA